CGAATAGCAAACCATAAAATGGGCCCACAAATTGCTATAAAAATGGCTGACCTTTCCTGCCGGGATAGATCTTGCGAGGCGGCTGTGTACGTCTACATGGAGATCTAGGCTGTGTGAACTTTTAGTATACAACTTCTTAACAGTCTCTTTCTTTCTAGGTCGTAATATGAAAGTTAGTCAAAAAGTAATGCCTTTTCTTCTTTCATGACCAAAGATCTAATATTAAGAGTACTCAAGGCATGACAAAATAAACACAAAAGCCGAGTCTTTTGTGTTTCAAATGGATTTGGTGACCACATGTAGTTCTCAGCATAGTCTCTTTTGTTCTAGATCACAGTATCAGAGTGAGTCGAAAACTGACCACAGAATCAGAGTGAGTGAAAAACTGATCGCAGTTTCAGATTCAGTCGAAAACTAAACGCATTTTCAGAGTCAGTCAAAAACTGATCGCAGTTTCAGAGTCAGTCAAAAACGGATCGCAGTATCAGATTCAGTCAAAAACTCTAGTAGCGGATTTCGAAAATTAGGAGATAACCCGACATTAATAATGAGTAATCTTGTAAGTTTGGGGTCAATTGTAGCTCAAATATGGATCAGAATCCGACAGAAGGATAAGATAAAGAATAAGCAAAGTGCATATGGTATTTCTCGTATGTTTATATATATATATATATATATATATATATATGTATGTATGTATGTATGTATATATTGAGTGTTCAAATAATTTAGTTGGAAAATACAAGTGTCTGAAGTTTTCTTACCTCAAATTTTTGTTTTCAAATTAAGATAAATGTTATTATTATGGCCTGACAAATGAAAAGGAGATGAAATTTTCGTTGACGCACGTGTTAACGACCTGTCTGTGTAAATTACTTTTTCAATGGTGAGAATGCCACGTGCTTGTATGTGTAGAGAAGAAAAGTGGGGTCGATTTTTATTGGTTTAGAAAGAGTGAATTAATGATTATTATAATTGTTATAATTATTTTATTATAACTATTTTTGACACTATAATTAATTTTTATTTATTTTTTTTATGAACACAACACCGTGAAAGCATAATATATTTTTATTTATGTATTTCTTTATGGACACGACACAACCAATGAAGTCTCAGAATTCTAGTCCTGAATATAGTCTCTTGCTTTCTCAATATTACTACCCCAATTTTAAATGATGGCATTGATACCTTTCTTCGTGATTGAGTCTTACCACCATCATTTCATTTACCTTGTTACAGGCAGCAGCTGAGCGACAGTTTGGCATAATTGCGTACATGAAAGTGCGTACAAGGCAGAGGTGTGTCGCTGAATTTCATTTTACAAAAAAAAATTGCAACGACACTCACTGAATGTTTACGGAAACCAAACAACGGATGTGAGCACAGTCAACAGTGACGATATCGATGTGTTTGATATGGTATGTTTCCTATGCGCATTGTGCGTATTTTTACCTCATCATCACTGGAGAACCCCTAAACTCTAAGGCTCTTGCAAACCATTTTAGTTGGTTCCATTCTCATTGGATATCTCACTACTACAGCCTTGCGTCAAACTATGTATGTTCTTACACTTATCCCCTTATAGAAATAGATTCAATTACATTATGTATGTGTACATTATTATCATATACATTATGTATGTGTATATAGGTAAAGAGGTAGTGTGGTTGTGGCAGTGTAGCAGTGAGTGTCATGGGACACGGACATTGTTTAGCCGTAGAATGGTTGAGTCCAGAAAGATAGTAGGAAATGCTCTATTTTTGTTTCCGGGGCAACAGCAGAAATGGTACACTATGAATGTGTGAATTTCCGACAGATAACAGCAGCACGTGAAAACGTCGGGCACCCATAATTGGTGTAAGGACGGAGCCGCCGATGAATGACGAGGATGATAACCAACGCAAAAAGGGGAAACATTTAATTAGATCAAGTCCCAATTCAACGCTATTTCCGTTCAAACCATCAGTTAGCGTACATTGCATTTCATGGCTGTCGACTAACAAAAGTATTATTATTGAAACCATAGCTTCGATTACAGCATTCAACCTGGGTCAGGAACATCGTCATTAAACCGTTAAAGACTAGAGCCGCACCTTTCGAGAAGACAATCGAGTTAATATGTGTGGATGTTGTGCAAGCTAATCGTGGCTTTGAAATGAAACTGGAGACTTTCTCGGCAACAGTAGCATTCACATGTCTTGTTCCACTCCATTTGCATTCCTTGTATTCAATCACCATGGCCCAGTAGTGACAGTTTTATTTTTTCATCAAAATAAAACAAAACCGCCATCATAAGTGAGTGACACAACATTGATATCAGAAATACACGAATGACTTCCATACTCACCATAGTAAATAATTATTTATTGAACTTATCTCGCTTTTTTCACCATAAAAATAAATGACTTCTCTTTTTTTTATGTTATAATTTTAATTTGATATTGGTAGGAACTCAGTAATATAATCTAAAAATATATTAAACATTTATTACAGACAATTTCTCACCGCTGTGACATGGCGAAGCCAACTAAGGGAGATAATCGTACGGGAAATCAGCCTTGATCGGTGAGTTTCGTCTGGAAGAACAACAATGTCGGACACATAAACACACGTGCAAACACGGCTTTATTCAATCCTCATCCATCCGCTGGTTACATGTCGGTATCACCAAAAATAAAAGTTTAAATAATAACAACATTTAATCTTCAAGTTGTTTATTTCGTTATAACAGCCGTTATAACATATGATTTCCATTTTTTTCTATCAATATTTTTATGTCAATTGTTTTGATGAGTTCTCCTACTCGACGGTGTAAAGTTTACATTCTCACACTTCTCACTTTTGATATTTCTCTTCCGGTTTCTTGCTTCCCTGCTAACTACAATCCTCAAACATTTTAAATGCAACGTCAATCACCATCTTCCTGAGCTGTGTTCTTTTATTGACCTTACTTTTTCTTCTCGCTGAAGTCTTCTCATTCTCTTTGACTTCTAGAAACGCTATACTCAGATTAAAAAAAGAATTTATTCACACAAGCAGATAACCAGTAATCTTTGAATATTTGTCTTGCTTTCTTTGATATTTACAAAATACCTTTCTAGTGGTGACCGAATATTGAAAAAAATAATATATATATATATATATATATATATATATATATATATATATATATATATATATATAAAAGTTTAATCATATATATTATATATTATATATGTGTGTGTGAGTGTAGGGAATTTCTCATCTCAAATATATATATATATATATATATATATATATATATATATATTTTTATACAACCTTGTGCAAATTAATTGAAACAAAACGAATAATTCTGTTATTATTTATTAGTTTTTCGTATTTTTCCAATGAAACATGACCCAGTGCACACGTTAGTACTTCGTATGTCCATTCCACAAAGTCTTTCCTTGCAGATTGAACACAGATTCTCGTCTGTATTTACATCAAAAGATTTTCCGAGCCAGTCTATAGTACTTTGATTTGGCCACTGATAAGGCGTGCCAGTGTGTTCGTGCAATGTTACAATTTTCGTATGCTACCTTGGAGTAACGTGCATCGCAGACAATGGCCGCAGGAAAACTAATCGACAGTCGAAAGAATAGATTCATATTACTGCACACCACTGCAAATGACCTAATCTGAGGAAAAAATAGAAATCGATTACACCCTGTCACTCCAGTGGGTCCCTAAAACTTACTGAATGGTGAAAGAAAGGAAACTAAAGCAGTTGTTTCCATTAATTTGCACAAGGGTGTGTATATATATAAGAAAACTTTAAAAAGTTAGGAACTGTGTGTGTCCGTGAGAGAGAGATTGAGACAGACAGACAAACAGACAGACAGATAGAGAGGATGGGAGAGAGAAATTCCATTACTAAGGGGAAATATATCCCCATGTCCGGGACAAGGGCCTGGCTGGTGTTGTCATAACAGCATGCTGGAAGGGAAAAAAGAGAAAAGAAGTGTCCGGTTTTTATAGATGTTTAACAGCGCCACCTGAAGGCGTTTTTTGGCGAATGGGGGGGGTCTCAAAATATACATATATATATATATATATATATATATATATATATATATATATATATATATATATATATGTGTGTGTGTGTGTGTGTGTGTGTGTGTGTGTGTGTGTATAAATCATGTTCACCTCATGCAAAGCAGTAAAGCCACTAAGACACAAGGGGTTACTGGGTGTGAAAAATTAGAAAACAAACATTATATATATATATATATATATATATATATATATATATATATATATATAATGTTTGTGTTTTCTAATTCTTATATTTTTCATTTCATGTTTCTTATTACTGCATTTTTTCTGCTTTCTTCTTTTCCTTTTTCTGTGTTGAATATTTTTTCACAAGACCAAATCGTCACCGCTCTAGTCTTCCTCAAATTTAAAACAAAGATTAAGCAGCCACAGACAAATTAAAAACGGTAGCAATATATGGAAGAATATTGCTCTTGTAAACATTGAATCTTACGGAGATCGATATTGGATTCTATTCGCTCTCGTTCCACACAGACATATCCGCAGACAGACTGTTTCAGAGCTCTTCAGACGTCCGGTTGCCTCTAGCTAGGATCGAAACCTGGCTGAATTCTACCACTAAGCCGTCGGGCACGGCAGGGATGAAGGTGAATTTTAGAATATTTATTTTTAGATAAACACACAGTAATTGCGAGGACTCGATTCGCTTTACTGAAGAAGAGTCTCGTTATTTAGATTTTCTGCTATTGTAATATTATTGCCAATGGATTAACATTTGTTTGGATAGAGAAGTTTTAATTTGAATATTTAACATATTTAATAAGCGTTTATGAAAAAAAAAAATATATATATTCTGTAAATAATATAATTTTTCTTATCTAACCCTGAGGAACATATGAGATATGTCATTAAAAGAAGGCAGAAATGAAGCCTCGACTTCGACTAAGAATTTATTCGAAAACCATTCTGAGGTTAACCTAAAAAATAGGGAAAATTAAACAGAAATTGAAAAGAATGACATATTTAGTTAAGAGAAATAGGGAGAGTGAGGGTGTGAATAGAAAGAGGGAGTGTGTGAGAGGTTGAGAGTTAATGCGTGCGTGTGTGAGAAAGAGGAAAATAGAGGATGCGAGAGAGAGAGTGAGTGAATGTGTATAAAAAGAAAAAGAGAATGCGAGATAGTGAAAAAGAGTATGTGCATGAAAAAGAATGTATGAAAAAGTGCTTATGTGTGTGAGAGAGTGAGAGAGAGAGAGAGAGATGAGAGAAAGCGTGTGAGAAGAAGTGTAAAAGAGAAAGAGTGTGTACCTGAAAGAGACAGTGTCTGTGTGTGAGAGAAAGAAAATGCAAGAGAATGTGAGCGAGTGTGCGTATATAAGTGAAAGTGACAGTAAAAGAAAGTGAGTGAGTGGTTGAGAGAATGTAAGAGAGAGTGTCGTGTCTAAGTGCGAGAGTATAAGACTGTGAGAGAGAGTGGAAGAATTTGAACGGGAGTGCTTATGTAAGAAGAGGGAGTAAAAGACAATGATAGAGAGGTTGTGAGAATGTAAGAGAGAGTGCGCATCTAAGTGCGAGAGAAAAAGACAATGTGAGAGAGAATGGAAGAATGTGGCGGGTGTGCGTATGTATGTGCGAGAGTAAAAGAAAGTGAGAAAGAGGGTGAGAGAACGTGAGCGTGAGTGCGTATGTAAGTGTGAGATTAAAAGACAGTGAGGGAGGGAGAGAGAGAGTGGGTGAAGGACTATGAGAGTGAGTCTATGTATGTAAGAGAGGTTATGTGTTATAGAGAAATAGGTTCTGAATAAATTGGTTGAAAGTGAGAAAAAGAACAAAGAAAGGCGTGGCAAATGTATTAAAATATTGAAAAGAAATCAATTAAAATCCTATGTATTGTTTTTTATTGTAATCTCCGTTAATTAAATGGAAACGAAAACGCGTTACAAATGTCCTCTTTGGTTCAAATTTTAAAAGAAAACACCAGAGCCCCCCACACACATATATATATATATATATATATATATATATATATATATATATATATATATATATATATATATAGTGTAACCCAGATATAAGAGAGTTGTCGGGACCGGAGAAGAAGTCCCTTATATCCGGGTTTCTCTTATATCCGGGTTTGGTCTATTTTGTTTAGGTAAGTATGGGAACACTTTGGGACCAGAGAAAATCTCTCTTATATCCGGGTCTCTTATATCCGGGTTACACTGTATTCTTTTTCAAATATCTGCAGATTCTTTGGTATTTATTAAGTGGGAAAACGGCAACATAGTATTATTTTATCAATCGATAATGTTTGTGAAGAAAAACTTTAAAATCTATATAAATTAAGATTTTATAAAATGAATTAATTATACATATTCAACTTACAGAGGACCCGTCATTATATATTTACACTATTTACAATGTTCGGACTGTTGTCCTCATCTTCGTTGCCATATTCACGACATTTCGGCCGTTGTATACCCGGACTTCCTCAGGTGATTGGAATTTCGAACCGAACCCTTTATTTCGTTTACCGGGGTAGATTATTCTAGTTCCACGTGTCATGCCTCTTTCGGATATCGTCAGTATCAGTTATCTTCCCTTAACTGAACTTTTCCAAGTTTTTTCTTCACCTCTGCTGCAGCCAGGCACTGAAATCACAACTCTTTGGATCAACCAAAGCTTTTATTCACTGGGTCCTTGCTACTCCACACCGGTGGACGAAATAAAGGGTTCGGTTCAAAAATCCAGTCACCTCAAGGCGGCCGGGCGTACAAGGCGACCGGGGCGTACAAAGCGGCCGGGGCGTACAAGGCGACCGGGGCGTGAATATGGCAAAAAGATAAGGATAACAGTCCGATCAATGTCTGATCAATGTAAATAATTACAATATGTCATCTCAGAAATATAGACGTCATTATCTCTACTGGGTGAGTTACAAATTAAAATAACATTTAATTGACTCATAATTTACGGAGAAAGATAAAATTTACGCTGCATTTAAAATATGTATCAAAATATTAATCTACAAAATTTCAGCTCTTAGGTACTTACAGTTATTAAGTTATTAAAAATGTTATACTCTTCAATTAATACACTTTCAAGTAGAATTTAACATATTTCTGTTAAATATCCGCGCAGATCTGTGTGTCTACTACTCGGTCCATGAATTTAGTATAAAAGACAACGTATCAATTAAAACATCTTCTTTTGTCTAGTTTATTTCCAGTCGCACAAAAAATTTGTCTTCAAAACAATAAACTTGACTCATAACGATCTTTACAAAAATAGATCAAAATTTTGTGAATATAATTTTCATGTTTTTGTTCTTGATTACTGCATTTTTTCTGTTTTTCTTTTTTTTTTCTGTGTTGAATATTTTTTCACAAGACACAAATCGTCACCCCTTCAGCCTTCCATAAATTTAAAACAAAGATAAAGTAGCTTCAGACATATTGGAAGTAGTGTTAATATTTTAAACTAGTTTAAAAGCCGGTATTTAAGCTAACTCCTGCGGGGGGCTCTTAATTAGGTCTTCGGTTTGTTCAGGAATACGAGAATCCCTAAGTTTTTGCATATTATCAGCATTGGATGCTCTCTTGCCTGCCATTTCATCTGGGTTTTTATTTACACGGGTCTTTCTTTTCGTTACAGCTCTTTTGATTCAATCTAGTCCTCTGTTTTGTGGAGGTTTCTTTTTACGAGGCATACTGCTGCCGTATGCGATAGGCAACAATAAACTACAGAAGAATTCAAAATTGATTGCTACATTTAAGTATTGCATTAATATTTTAGCTTACCTTTTAAAAGTTCAGCGATAATTCTGCCGCTACCATTTTAATTTAAAGACAGTTGGATGTACGTAGGTCCTTACCTTCCGTACAAACAATTACTTTTATTCCATGGGTGACTTTTGCTTGATTTCACAATTAATTTCGATTATTCTCAAATTTATTTCCAACTTATAAAAATTGTTATCATGCAAAAAGATTCGTCGAAAAAATCACTTAAAAAATCACTGAAAACAATTGCATTAATGAAATCTTGGGAATCCAAAATTTCAGGATTGCGGGTCCTGATCCGGCCTGGAATGTTTTTAATTTGCTCACGGAGTCGGTCTAATACCAAAACGAAATGATGTGTTGGGCTACGGCCTCTAGGAGTAAAATTGAAAAAGTGTGACACACTGACATTCGCATTTATTTATATAGAAGGTGAGATATCTAAAACTTAGAGAGTTGTGTCCCTTTAATTGAAAAAGTGTCACAGTGACACAGACATTCGCATTTATTATACAGATAAAGAAGATAAGATATTAAGAAATTAGAGAGTTGTGCCTCTTTAATTGAAAAAGTGTGACACACTGACATTCGCATTTATTAATTATACAGAAAAAGAAGATAGAGCCATTGAAAGAGAGTTGTGTCCTTTAATGGAAAAAGTGTGACACAAACAGACATTTTCGCATTTATTATATAGATTACTGAATTGATATATTGACCTAGCATCTTTACGCGTGAATTTTAATATGCAGACTTATGAAAATATATTTGTACATAAATAATATATTTTGCTCTCCTTTCTATCATTTGTTAAGCTATTATTTCATTCACATATCGTTTTCAGGGGATTTTGTCAGCTATCCGTAAGCCTTTCCCATAGGAAAGTGAAATAATCGTATAAGGATTTGTGTTAATAGTCATTATGGGCACTCAGAGAAAAGAATAAAAATAGTTCAAAAATATACCAACCATAACTGTTGTAACCTAGGGAAGGTTACTGAATAGAATAATCAAACGAAGGTTGGTAATGAACGATAATACTTAGGACAAGAACAACACATATAAGATTCGCCAGCGGCGTGTAGAATTAGTCAACTTCTAGAAGTGAGTCAAGTGAATTCCACAATGAATCTCAAACTGCAGAATATCTACCAACCGCCCTACGTAGTCAGATGTGGCACAAGGCCGAATTTAATGTGGAGTATCCGAGCCCGTAAGCTCGGCCAAAATTTCCCCGTATACACCGTATAAAACGGAGTCGGGTAGCTGTTTCCCAAGACGAGACTCTGCCCTTCGACATAGCCTGGTCTGGGGATTCTCTCTACCCGGAGGCAGAGAGTTTGACCAGCATAACCGGAGACGAATCTCCAACTGCAGACCAACATACAGTATTTACTACTGTATTTATGTGAATGGGGACATACACATTATCGTCCGTAAGTATGCTACAACAATAACATTTATTCTATTGAGAAACAATCTCTTCTTTATGTGCTGTATCCTCTCACGGCGTAGGCGAACGGCTCCCCACAATTTCCTGTGTTTATAGGTCTTAATAAATTTTCATTATTTCTCCTAAACTTGTTCCGCCATTCATTTACTCAAGCTCATTAAGTATGTTATGCGTTGATTTCCTCTGTTCCTCTTGCCCTCAATCTGTCCTGTGAGTATCAGATTTCCCAAACCTTCCTTCCTCATTATGCGCCCCAGAAATTTCAACTGTCTTTTCCTTATGTTAAGTATAAGTTTTATTCTTTTTCTATTTTCTCTAACACCTCGCCGTTGCTCACATGTTCGGTCCATTGTATCCTCAGCATCCTTCTGTAGAACCACTGTTGCTTCAAGTCTTTTCTTCATCTTTAAGGAGATCGTTCACTGCCATATAGGAAGACTGATATCACATAACATTTTCTTTGTTTCTAACGAACCTTTTTTGTCATTTAATACTCAGTGTCGCACTTTCCGTCGTCTGTTAAAACACTTCACAGATATTAAAATTTTTGTACTTGTTTTTGGTATGTCCGATTTGTAATTTGCACTTTGACCTGTCCCTTTTGCTAACAACCCTGCATTTTATCTTCTTGCAAATGACGTTTAACCATTTCTTCTCGCTTTCCCTCACTACCTTCTGTAGGAGTTTTTGTAGTTTTCTTTCCGTGTCTGCTACCAACACTATGTCATCTGCATGTCTTACGTTGTTAAGATTGTGGCCGCCAGTTATTAATACAGCATACAAAACTTTTAACTTTTGTGGATTTTTTTTGTTTTGTTTTGTTACAGAACTGTTCTGCTTTCGAATGTGTCCGGCATATGGTGTCAGAAGAGGGACAGATGAGTCCTTGTCGTCTGTTCACGTCCTAGAGGCGAAAAGAGACCAAGAGCTTCATTTCTCCCGCCGAGGAGTTATAAAAACTGATAGTTAACTCATATATAAAAAATATTCACTTTTGTGGTGTTTTTTTTTTTTTTTTTTTTTTTTACGGTGCAATGAAAGTTCTGCTTTCGAAAATGTCCGGCATATGGTGTCCGAAGAGGGACAGGTGCGTCCTTGTCTGTCCACGTTCTAGAGGCGAAAAGCGACCAAGAGATGAAATAGCAGGAAGTTTGTTATAAAAACTGATAGTTAAATTCATATATGAAAATATTCTTTCATGGCTCCTATATTTACTGGAAAGATGAAATGTCCCTCTTTTTGTCTGGTTTTCTTTCATAATTTGGTTGTCCAAAATAATTTGGTTCCATCGATACGGACCAATATAAAAGAAGAAGAACAAAGATAGACAGACGCAGCTTGAATATTCTCTTTTTATCTGTAAACTTTCGGATAATTTCCGGTGTTCCCCTGCTGATCGCTTCGCAGCAAATAAAAATAAACCGACTGGCGTAAGTAAATATCACAAAGTCGTGCAGATAATCTAAAAAGAAATTATCGTTTTATAACTTAAGTAGATCGACGTTACGATGTTCGTCTTATTTTCGTTAACGACAACTTGTAACCACCAAGTTTCCAGTGATACGAAAATATATCAAGCGAATCCGTTTAAATCTGTTTCACTCATTAATATCTCGATTCACATCAGATTTATTCTTTGTCACGATCTAATTCAAGGAATCTAAACATATTAGACAATTTGTGGTGGACTTCGTCACATTAATTTAACTTAGATTAGGAAACCAAACTGAGGTGAAGAAAAATGGATAAGCCAAAGCCATCATTACCCATAAAATTTGTATTTAACAAGATCTACAAACAAGGATGTGAAAGAAAGGCATGCATTGAGTAAAACAAGAGTTGTCTCTCTTTAACTATTATTTGTATTCCAAAGTTCACTGAAAGAAAGTTTGTGAGAGTTTCTGGTAATAATTGTTCTCAGCAGATTTGCTGTGTAAGGAAAAAATTATGTGAGTGTAGGGAATATTCAGCATGTGCGTGTTGGTGTGAGTGAGAAGGTTGAAAAAGTTCGTAAGAGTTCGTACGTACGTGAATGCATGAAATATTATTTAACGTCTGACCGCATGGTCGAGACGATAATTCTTAAAGGTCACATCTTCGCAGGAAGAAGAGAAAAAAATGAGAAAGTGGTAAACTCGTGTTTGCTATTTATAGATAATTTAATCACGTGACAGGATCACAGAACCTTGGCGGGAAACTTGACTTAGTCACGCGCTGGAAAAATATATTGTGCGTGGATGGATTGCAACGCCCACTTGTGTGTTTATTGACCAATTAGTGAGCGAGTTTTGGGGAGACCTAAGAAAGCCTCTGGTATCCGATTCTCCCAAAAGTGCACGAAATCAACTACATGAAAATATAGCGATTATAAAATTGTCGCATAGCTGCGATTTATAAATTGTTCATTACACAGTAGTGTTGATTTATTATCCAATGAATGCTTGTTGTTGTATAATTTGAATTTGTGTAAGTATGTATGTATGTGTGTGATGATGATCATCATCACAAAATGACGTCGGAAAGTGTGAACAGCTTAACAGTTATCGGCATGGAATTGGCTAAACCCGGTTAATCTGTGTGTTGACTTAGATTTTTTTTACTAAATGTTCACCCAATACCATGCACAAGTGCTACTCAAAATAGAGGGTTACTGAATGTGGTTGATGTATGGATCTAAGAGGAGGAAGTGAGTGCAGATTATTATGATATGTAGGATACACAGCGGTTGATCCTAGGCTTCAAGAGGTTGAGATTATAGGGATTGAAGAAGCATCTTCTTGAAAGTCTATTCCATAAAGCAGCGGCTCTTGGGACGAAGTTGTCCGAATGGAACTTCTTTCTTATTAATGGAATACGAAGGGTATGACGATCATTCGAAACTGTATGCATGTCATGGCGGGTTTTATCTATAAACGTCAGTACCGATGGAAATACGGAACGTAGATCATTTAAACATTCACCAAGAAAATAGCAATAGAGTAGCGATAGGCCTGCGACGACAGGCTGTCTGTGAGAAAGGAGCTGTAGGTTTGAAAATAATTCATCACCCACAAGGCCGCGTAAACGGAAAGGCATGGACCTATCTCTTCTCATACCACCGCTAGTTATGAGATAAATAGCTGTGTAGACTGAGCTCTTGTGTGGCAGTTAGTCTATGAAAAAAAAAACGAATTTAAAATCGTGAATGTAAAACTATTCCACTATTTTTACTGAGAAGTCGTGGCAACTCACACTAATTAAAGAAAATCTGTAAAATATTCAATGCTTGTCTACGCCCTGAAAAGATCCGGTATTAACAAATACAGGGTGCGATGGGTAAATCGTCGCCATTATAAATTTTAATTTCCCACATGCGCGTTGTTTGTTTGTTTGTTTTGTTTTTTATTTTCTCGAGTGCTCAGTATAGTAGGGTCAGTTTGGCAATGAATGCAAAGATTATGGCAGCATTAACTAACTTATTTCAAGATATTTTTGTATAATTTTGGTAAATATATCTGTTAAAATGAAATGCCAGTGTCATTTTCATTTTTGCATAATTTAGATGACAATTTATCCATCGTAGCCTGTATTTAAAAAAGCACACAGAGAAAGAGGCGTGACAAATTGACAGGAAGTTCAGAATATTTACAAGGAAGAAGGCATGTTTATTCGTATAAATTAATGGTTATATTTATTTATTTGAAAGGAAACGGGCAAACTTTATGCGGTGGCAGTATGACTATTAACACATGGCCTTGAAATACTTTATCTTTACAACAGCCAGATCAGACTAAAAATGGAATATTATTACCAAATGTGAACTAAAGCTGTTCACTCCTCACTTTGCTGTCTTGAGAGTGTACAAAATATTTACGCGTCCTTGTGGGTGATGAATTATTTTCCTCCCTACAACCCCTTTCCCACAGATGAAATGTCGCAAGCCTCTCGCTACTCTATCGCTATTTCCATGGCATATGTTCTGACTAGCTACATTCCTTGGTTCCATCAGCCTGACCTTTACAACTGGGATCCGCCATGCCGCGTACACAAGAGTGAATCATCCCCATTACCTCCGTATTCCTAAAGTAAGAAGTAAGTTCCATTCGGACAGCTTCTTCCCAAGGACTGCTGCTTTGTGGAACAGACTCCTGACAATATGTTTTCCCAATCACTACAATCTTGACTTATTCAAGTCTAGGGTTAACCGCTATCTTTTCCTTTCGTATTCCTATAGTAAGAAGTTCCACTCGAACAGCTTCTTCCCAAGCACTGCAGCCAACATTAAAAGAAGAGAGTGTTAGACAAGCATTGAGTAAAATTTGGTACAAAATGAAACTGCTAGAAAAAGCTATGTTGCAATTTACCAGCCGGCAAAAAGCAATAAAATTGAAAGAAATAGAGGAAAAACAATTTGTGAAATGAACGCCAGACTAATTTATTCACGTTTTTACAAATCATTTTTCGACGATTGACGAAGACAATTAATTCAAAGTGTGTGTGTGTGTGTGTGTGTGTGTGTGTGTGTGTGTGTGTGTGTGTGTGTGTGTGTGTGTGTGTGAAAAGATGAACATAAATTGTAGTATCTTTGAAATAAGGCTGTAGAAAGTTTTTGTAGTTCAACATTTTCAGTCACGCGCGGCACGTAAGTCTGTTGCAGGTTGAACTTGTGAACCCTGTGAATAAAAATCACCACTTTTTATACATTTCAGGAACTCCAAAAAAGCTTGACGAAAATATTTATCTCGCTTCTGATTAGATAAAATGTATTTAAAAAAAATACTACTACTTTCGCGTCTAAAAACACGTGACTTGCAAATTTTTTATAACCTTGAACTAACGTTCACTCTCCATGAACTGTTGGCCCCTTTTGCACAAAAATCTTAGCGCAGTCTCGGCCTCTTCTTAGCTTGTATATTTATTATAGCAATTTTCCAAGCGTAGCTCAGATGTGTCACAAGGCCAAAAGTATGGGGTACCTAATGAGGATTGAACTCACTACTTAGTCGTAATTGTTCTAGCAACCATTACACCTCCTCGACGTGTCCAAATGATTTTCTAAGCGTAGCTTAGATGTGGCACAGGGTCGAAATTATGCGGCACCCAATGAGGATCGAACTCACTACTCAGTCGTAACTGCTTTTTAGCGAGACAAGCTTGTTAACCATTACACCACGCGGAGGATTCCTGATGATTTATGTTTAGGACTGTGAATATTGACCTTAAATTTGGAAATTAGTTAGGGTCATTTCAGACAGATTCAACAAGGGTCCGTCCTGAAGTTCCTCAGGTTTCATCCAAATTTTCACCATTTGTTACCATTCCTGAGATGAGTCTATCGTTAATATTTCGGCGTGGTATCTCATGTCAAACTGATTTTACGCCACTTTGAAGATTCTGAAATTATTGAAAATTTGAAAACATTGATTTTTTTTTTATTTGTTATTTTCGAGACTTCTCACTGAAAAAAAAACTTTCATTGCTTTCTTTTGGAAACTCTTTATCCTTGATCACAACCATTATGAGTCTTTCAAATTCCATCAACTAACCACAATCTTCAATCCCAAATGAATTTTTTTTTTAAATGGGCAAAAAACTCTTTTACAGTCAAAAGTCTCGTTCGGGGAGGTTGACCAACCCGATCCTGTTTATACGGGTTCTACGGGCATTTTTTGGCCGAGCCTACGGGCTCGGGAAACCCACGTTAAACTTGGCCTTGTGCCATATGCAACCCTCGTGGGAAGGGGGGGGGGCTAGATACCGAATCAAGCCGCGCTACTCGGCTTGACGGTCGAACTCTCTGCCTCTGAGCAGAGAGGAACCCAGACGAGCTCAGCCGAAGGGCAGAGTCTCGTTCAGGGAGGTTGACCAACCCGATCCCGTTTATACGGGTTCTACGGGCATTTTTTGGACGAGACTACGGGCTCGGGAAACCCACGTTAAACTCGGCCATGTGCCGCATGCAACCCTCGTGGGGGTGGCTAGATACCGAATCGAGTCGAGCCGATAGTAGTTCACTCCAAACCAGACTGACAGTCATGCTAAGACCTTCCACACCTTGTATTATTTTTTCGTGTAATATACCTTCGTTATTTCTACTCTTGTGTTCGTGTTGTTCTTCCTTGGTTCTAAACTCGACCATACATATATCTAAAATATATATATATATATATATATATATATATATATATATATATATATATATATATATATATATATATATATCTTAGTGTATATATATATATATATATATATATATCTATATATATATATATATATATATATATCTAAGTATATATATATTATATATATA